ACTGTAACTGAGTCCCAATTCACAAGAAGAAACCCATACCTGGCAACATTATCAAACCAAGAACCCATGGATAGATAGATCATAGGACTTAGGTGAAAGCCTACTTCTACTTACCTACTGATAAATGGGCATACTATTAAACCAACTCTTAATAACTTGTATTTATTCTCATAAGTCAATGTATTGCTCAACCCTCCTTCGAGAAGCTTCTATTTGCAGTAGTCAATCATTAATGCAAACACCTATACACTTCCAAGCGGCAGAGAAAAAGAGCCTGCAGAGCACTCCACCCTCAAGAAGATATATATACTGCACCTCTACCGAAGCTCAGAGATCACTATGTGTGTGTGTGTGTATATGTGTGTGTGTGTGTGTGTGTGTGTGTGTACATGTATATACATCCATATATAGAAATAAAACCCTAAAGCTGAGCATTGCCAGCATATGGGCACTAAAGTTGTTTCTTACTTTGTGATCTGAGATGTGAAGCTCATCTCCAACTCTAGAATTGGGTATGTATTAGAGTTGTGAGAAGAAAAGGAAGGCTACATAGTAAAGGTGTTGAGGTAGAACTTCGCCTAGATCACAGGCTGTAGATACTTTTACCATTCTTTTTAGTAGATGGTGTTAATACGCCTGCATCAGATGCTGTTTAAAAAACTCACTAAATCTCAGGCTAATACTTAAGACATGAAAGGAGGTTGAAATTTAACAAATGCAGTTTCACAGTGTAGCCTAGAAGATGTTTCTTTTTAAAAAAGATTTATTTATGTATGTGTGCGTGTGTGTCTGTGTCTCTCTGTGTGTGTGTGTGGTGGATGTCATATGTATGCAGGTATCCAAAGAGTCCAGAAGAGAACATTGGATTCATTGGGATGGAAGTTACTGGCAGGAGTGAGCCACTCCACCTGGACTCTAGGAACTGAACTCCAGGGGTCTGCAGAAGCAGCAAGCACTTTTAATTGCTGAGCCACCTCACTACCCTCTAGAATAGTGGTTCTCAACCTTTCTAATGCTTCAGCCCTTTAATACATTTCCTTATGTTGTGGTAACCTCCAACCATAAAATTAGCTTTGTTGCTACTTCATAGCTGTAATTGTGCTATTGTTATAAATTGTAATGTAAATACATGTGTTTTCTGATGGTCTTAGATGACCCCTGTGACAGAGTCATTTGCCCTCTGAAGAGGTCACAATTCAAAAGCTGAGAACCACTGCCCTGGACATTAATTTCACCATCTGCCCTTAAAAGCACTATTCTTCCATCATAACAAGAACAAAAAAAAAAAAAAAAGTCTTTCAGGAAGAAATTATATTTCACAGAACAAATAAAAAACTGAACTATCCACCTTAGACAGTGCTTATCTTACTTGTAACATTAAATTTTTATTTTTCCCTACCTCCATGTACTGTGGTTGGTTGACTGATGTCATGTCTTTTGCTTAGAGGTATACTTTCATATGTGAAAACTGGTATTGAAATAGGTGTATATAAGACTGTGTGACAGGCATGGTGACTTGTGACTGTAACCTTGGCACTCAGGAGACTGAAGCAGGACCACTGCCGAGTTTGAGATTTAGGTGACATAATCAGTTCTAGGCCAGCCTGGGAAACAGAGTGAGACCCATCTCAGAGAAACTGTGATGCTCATGACTCATTTATTGCCTCTTCTTAGAGAAATAAATGTTGATAATGCAAGAAAAATGTAGGCATATAAAGCAGAAGAGCTTGGTTTTGTCACTTACATTTTTCTCTATAAAACTCATTTAAAAGATAGATATCATTCATTCACAAGGATCATCCTTAGCAACTGCAGCAAAAGGCATCTGTCTGTTTGATAAACCTTTGAGTGCCTGCTCTGTCCTCCCCTATCTTGCTCTGTAGCTACTAAAGACTGTCATAGGTATCAGTTACCTGACATCTTGACTAGGCTGTAATCCATTAATTCTCCCGGAGCACCGGTCAAGAGGCGCTGTTAATTTTGGTTGTTCTCAAGTCTATCTTCTGTCTTGGTGACGTCAATGAAGATCATCAACAGAAAACAAGAATTTGAATCTAACACTTAACTGAATTTTAATTAACGTTTCATCCAGATGCCAAAATACCCAGTAGGCAGATACTCCCCTTTTGTCCTCTTGCTGTAATTCAGCCTGGGAGTTAGGCCTCTGCACCTCTGACTCCATCTGACCCCCTGACCAGGAATCCAATGAAGCCCATAATGTGTCTCAGTGAGGGCATGCTAGCTCTGTTCTCTCCCACTCCCACACCACCCTGAATCAAAGAATACCACCCCTTATCATTAGTGGCCAGGTCACTGCTGCTATGATTCACACAAACATATGAATATATAAAGAATAGATGACAAACTATAGAAAAAGAAAAAGGTTTTCATGCATCTCTTAGTTTGCAGAAACTTCAGTCAACCACTGCTAAATACTATATCAGACTAATAGAGCTATGTTGTAGGTGGTATATTCGTCTCACAATTCCTCCTTCCAATGATTCTGCTGTCCCCAACTAGAAATAGAAAATATCTGGCTCCCCATAGAGTTAAAATTTATCTCAGTTGGCTTCTGGAGCATCTCCTTACTGATCCTATAATTCCTTACTGGACCTGTAACAGAAAGAACTTAAATGTTATAAATGTAATATAGAGCTACATGCCTTAGCAATGTTGTCTTAACATACACGTATTCAAACACATGGAACTTAAAAAAAGAGAGAGAGAGAGATTTTTATAGTGGTTGATCTTCACTGTGAGCTGATTATACTAAGAACTACCTAGAAGATAAGTGACTCACACATCTGAGATGCCTGTGAGGGTATCTCCAGAGACAATTAGATCATGAGGTCTCTGCCATAAAGAATGGGTTAATCCCTTGGAGGTCATAAGTATGATGATATGAGATAACACGAAAAGTAGAAGACGGGTTGGAATTATTTGGAGGGAACAGGTTACTTGCCTTTCCTCTTCCTGAATGCCTGCCTTCTCTGCCTTTTGTCCACTTTGCAGAAGCTCCTCATACACGCCATGTTCCTGTGATGATGATGTTCCGCTTCTAAACAATCCTGGTACCTGGGTACAGGGAACAAAGACTAAACTCTCTTATACTGATAACTGAAACAAATATCTTTCCTTTAAGTTGTTTCTTCTGTATGTGGTCACAGTGATTAAAAAAAAAGTAATAATACAGGTTCCACTTCTCAGATAGTAAAGAGAAAATAAAAAAGAGTAACTATCAGTATAGGTGAGGATATCAGAAAATTTGCATATCATATTAGTGAGAGGATATTTTGATGTTCCATTTTAAAGACAATATTGTAAAAGTTGTAAAAGCTAATACCATAATTTAATAACTTGTGTGCAAGAATTTATTCTTCATAAATTCTGGTATAACATATACAAGATCATTTACTTTAGTATTATATATCATAGCAAATAAGACTCCTAAATCAGCTTAGTTATATTTCTTAAGGATTTATCTTTATTGTGTGTATCTCTCTGTATCTCTGTGTCTCTGTGTGTCTGTGTCTCTGTGTTTCTGTGTCTCTCTATATCTCTCTGAATCTCTGTCTCTGTCTCTCTCTCTCTCTCTACATGTGTGTATGTGTGTAGGTGTGGGTGTGCCTTAAGAGAACACTGTATCTCCTGGAGCTGGTGATATAGTTATGAGCACTCAAGGTGAGGACTGGGAACCAAACTCCAGTCCTCTATAAGAACAGCAATGTCCATAGCCCCTGAGTCATCTCTCTAACCTCTTGGTTATAATTAAGATAAAATGTATATAAATTATTCATGCAGCTATTAAAAATAATGGTAATGATCTTTATGTATCATTATAGAGAGACAGATTTCTTTGGATTTAAAAAATGTGTGTTAATATACATGTTTACATTTATTAATGCATAAATTCCAGAGTGTTATATAAAAAGTTATTAATAGTGGATACCTCAGGAAATAAGAAATTTAGGCAACTTTTCTTCAAACTTTACGTTCTTACATCTTTTTTAACTGGCAATTGTAATTTTCTTCTATAAAATCTACTGAGTAAAAAGACATGTGTTTAAAATAATGCACGGCTTAATTTTATTGAATGAGATCAAAGTAGAAATTTTCCCAAATCTGGGCAAAATTTATATTCCCAAGAACAAGAAGCATGCAAAGCCCCAAATAAATATGTCCATAAAAGAACCTCCCTACCCAATATTCTAATTAAAATATGACTATTATAAAAGAAAGAATTCTAAAGGATGAAAGGCAAACCTACCAATTAACAGCAGACTTCTCATCAGAAACTCTGAAATCCAGGAGAACATGGCCTAATGTCATTTAGGCACTGAAAAACTGCTGAAAGTGAAGAACAGAAATGGGTAGTGTGGGGAGAAGTGACGGACTGAATGCCAACCAAATTACTATACACCAAAATTATCTTTTAAAATCATTGGAGAAATAAAAACTTTTTTCTAAGCATAAACTAAAGCAGTTAATGACCACTAAGCCAACAGTAAAAAATAGGCAGAAGAGGAAGGAAGATGCACATGTTCATCAGACCTCTAGAATGATAGATTGCACTAGAGAATTAGATAAACTAATGAGAATTAGGAAAAATGAAATGCCATTAACTCATTAAACAGCAGACTTCCAAGATGAATAAGAAAGAAACAAGTAGAAAAAATTTCTAATAATGAATACAAATGTAAATGGATTTGGTGCATAAATTAAAAGATGCAGACAGTCTTAGTAATGTTGACATATACTTTTAATCCCAGCTCTTGGGAGGCAGAGGCAGGTGGATGTTGGAGGCCAGCCTGGTCTAAAGTCATGAGTTCTAGGACAGCCAGGGCTACATAGATAAACCCTGTCTTGAAAAATTATGAAGAAAAAAAAAAACAGATTCAGACTGGCTTGAATAAATTCAAATACAAGATCCAACCCTTTGCTTTCTGTAGGAAACCAACTCTAATGGTAAAATTACACATTAAGAGTACAAGGAGACACACACTCCCAGCAATGGGCAAAGACACACCATGTTGGTGGTGGTGTTTTCATATGAGTCAGGGGCAGAGTAGATGGAAGTCCTTTGTTCATCCTAGCTTGATGCTTGGCTTGGTGCCCAAAGCTGTCTTATGCCTAGGACTCATAAAAATCAAATCAAAGCCAGGCAGCACAGGGACCAAGGAGGAAAACAGACAAAAACCTGTGGACTGCCATGCCAACCACAGACAGACCTGCCCTCAAGCCTACGACACAGGAGCACCATAGACACTTGCTTGCTGCCCTACCATATTACATGGATGGAGGATGTCATGCAGGGACTCACCAGCCACGTGGCCAGCCTGCCACAGAAACCACCACAATGTGCAAGTATGTGGTGGTTAGAAGGGAGAGGGAGAAAAGTGGAGCAACTTGAGCCTAATGAAAAGAGATCGAACTGGAGACTGAAGGGTGGAGAAGAGTAGCCTGTTCTGAGTAGCTAACCTGCCACCTGGAGCCATGGTGAGGTCCCAGCCCAAGCTGCCACTGAAGGCCATGTCTGAGTACGTGGCTATGCAGTGACGGGGTTGGTGTTGATATCCCATGGCTTATATTATCACTAGAAAATATGGGGTTATCCCGGGTCAGGGCAGCCACTGTGATCCACAAGGATACCCAGAGGCTGTGCATACTGGCCCTGCCCCTCACTGAATGAGGCACTCTGGAGAGCTGGCCTCATCATCTAAACAGTGGCAGCATTCAGGAGAGTGGGTCCTAAGCCCCACAGAGACCCTTGTGGCAGGGGTGGGGAGGGTGGAAGAGCTGACCTTGTCCCTTTGCTCCTCTGCCATGGGTTATTACAGGCACAGAGGTGATGCCACACACACACACACACACACACACACACACACACACACACACCTCCACCTCTAGCATGGGTGAGCCAGCCCCAAGGACAAGATCGTGGGAGAGCTAGCCCCATCGCTCATCTGCCATGAGGAGTTGTGGGTGTGGGGCTGATGTTCTCCCCTGCCTCACCTCTCAGCACCTACAGCAGTTGGGAGAGCTGGCCCTCAGGTCATGAGAGCAGGTGAGCAGGCCCTGAAGCTCGTCTGGGCTGCACAGGAAAGGTGGCCCTAACGGCAAAGGCACAAGTGAGCCAGCCCCAAAGGTGTGAGAGCAGAAGAGCTGACCCAGCCCCTCACAGGATGCAGCACTTGGGAGAGTGGAGGTGAGGCATGGGTGCGGGTCAGCCATCCCAAGGGCATGGAAGTGAGAGAGCTGGCCCTGCCTCCTCCCAATGCTGGCATTTGGGTGGCCTAGCAGGAGCAGTGCTGGAGAGCTGGTGGTGTGAAGAGGGGAGAGCTCATGTGCTCTGTCCACTTCAGCTAGACCCCAGGCCCAGATCCAGGGCTCTGAGTTGACCCGCCCCAAAATTTAAATCATCTGTAGGTGATTGGGATGTGTGAAAGGGGCAGTCTTGCCGTTACAAAGCTGCAGGAGCTCCATGACACAGGGCAACAACAGGATAACCAGAAGGAGTCTCAGTGAAGATTCAATATTGATGGTGACCCAGAAGCCAGAGATCTCAAACCAGACCACTGACTCATTGCAATGAACACTTGCAAGTGAAGATGTGAGAGCAGAGGGATATACTGTGGAATACACTGTGACATCTACAGCTTCCACAATAAGACGTTTTCTACTCTTCGGTAAGTTTTGGTGGTGGTGGTGTGTGTGCTTTATATGCGGGAGCAGGGTATTGCAAGGGAAAAGAGAAGATATGAGAGGACAGGAAAATGAGCCAGACAGGGGCACATGAAGTGAAACTCACAATCAATGAAAGGGTAAAACAAAAATGGAGTGAAAGGACAAAAATGCAATTCAAAGTAAATAAATTCCACAAGCAGAGAAAGAACAACTAGTCCAAACAAGATTTCAAGCCAAAATTAGAAGAGATAAAGTCACTACTAATAAAGAATACAACTCATTAAGAAGATATGATTACTATTTAAATATATATAGTTAATATTGGTGCATAATGTTTCAAAAAAATAAACAAAAATTGACAGAAAGGGACAAATGTTTTAAAGTAGAATAATAATGTATAACTTCAATACTTCATGGTCTTGAAGAGATAGATTATCCAGATGTTTCACACAAAGACACACACATACAAATGAGGAAAGAAACTTCAGAATTAAATTTTATTTTACAATTAACAGGTATTTATAAACTATTCTATTCAATATTTGCTGAATACACATTCTTCCTAGCAGTTTGTGGAAATATTTCCAATGCATACATATTTTAAGCCCTCAAGAAAGTCTTAACAGATAAAAAATATTTAAAATATTTTCTTGTGTTCTATCATAATGGGATGAAACTAGAAATCAACATGACAAAATGTGCAGAAGTTATACAAATGTATGAAAATTAAGCAATAGACTTTTAAAAAATCAGGGTGTCATTTAAGAAATAAAGGAGCAAATTAAATTCCTAGAATCAAATGAATAATGAAAACATAACTTTTATTGCAATTTTTATTAGAACTTTTAGAATGCAGAAAAGACAGTTCCAAAAGCAAAATTTATAGCTTTTATTAGCTATGTTAAAAACTTAGAAATATCTCAAATAAATAACCTAATCACATAACCCAAGGCCTCGGGGGGGAGGGGGAATAAAACCCAAATTTAGCAGAAAGCATGAAATATAAAAAGGAAATAATAAAGATTGTGCTGGAAATTAATGAAACGAAGAGCCGGTTCTTAGAAAAGGATAAGCAATATTTGCTTGTCCTTGGCCAGACTAACAAAGCAATGTGAGATAGCACCCAGATTAGTGAAGTTGGAGGCAATAGACGGGTTGTAATATACACTACTGAAACCCAAAGGATCCTTAAGGAATATTTTGAAAAAGTATTTCAATGACATGGTATCTGATCTGTAGTAGAAGTTTTGGGTTCTTTTAAAAACTCAGTTATGTTATGTAAATGTGTTTTTGTTTTAATCCCAAGAGTGAGAGGCTGCTTTTGCTTTGTCCATTGCCTCATGCAGCTCGGAGAGGGGCGTGACTTTTGCCAGGTGCAGTTAGTGGAACCTGTGAGAACTCTGAGAGGATATAGGTACCAGAGCCAAGAGTGGTTCCAGAGAGGGCACTCTTAGGGGGAGGGGAAAGAAGGCACCTCCTGGATATCCTGCCGACTGAGGTTGGTATTGCCCCCAAAGGACCTGCTGGCCCTAACCAGCCAGACCTAAGTCTAAAGAGACCTCCGTCCCCTTTCCCTTCTAACCTTTTTTCTCTCCTACTTATAAGGTGTTGGGAGGTTGGTAGAAGGAAGGTAGAAGCTTAAGAAATCCCAAATAGAGTTAAAAAGTAGCACCTACACTATACACAAAATAGAATTTTTTTTCTAGACACACATAATCTGCCAAGTTTGAACAAGGATACAACTTAAATAAATTGTCATCAAGCCATGAAATTAAAGCAAAAATAAAAATTTCTCAACAAAGGAAACCTGAGACCTGGACAGATTCACCACTGAATGTTCCACACCTTTAAATCAGAACTCCAAGAATGATTCTAAATTCATTCTGTAAAGCCAGAATTAATCTGCTGCCGAAAACTGAGTAGGGACACAAGAAATATTTGAATGAATAATAAAAGATATTGAAGAAAATAAAACTGTACACGATTGTCCTTGATGAACATCTATCTTTTCTGACAGGAATGAAGACATTCTAAAAAGACGCTTGTGACCCTTCCCTTTGGCCATCAGACTTTTGGAATAGTGAGCAACAACAAGTTAGAATTTCTCCAGGATTCTCGTGATGGGAGAAAGAAAAGACTGGAAAATGGTGCCATCCAGAAGAACTTGCCTCCAGAGAAATTTTTACACCTTACAGGACTGACTAGCACTGAGACAGCAGTGATAATCGGGACCACGCACTGATCTAGATTGCTTATGCCTACCTCCGACCCTCCATTTAAATCTAACTGTAATGTCAGGACCCTGAAGACTGTTTCTCTTCCAAATGTGGCCACATTGAATAAATATCTCCTTTCCCCCCATTTTGCACTATTTCTTGATTGTTTCATTTGTCTGCTGACAATCGATAGCCAAACCTGTATTTTCACAGCTGTCAGAGCCCAGGTTCTGATCCAAACAACTCCAATGATAATACAGACTGAAAGTCCTCAACTCAACAAACATTTCAAAGATCATACATCATAACTGTTGCAGGCAGAGTAGCAAGGAAGTTTCAACATACACAAATACGTAAACATAACAACTCATAAATAAAACCAGAAGAAAAAAAATATCCCAAGATCAAAAAAAAAAAATCCCTGGACAAAGTTCAGCACCTCTTCCTATGAAACATAATACTTTATCACAAGAGAGGCTGCACCCACAAACCTAAAGTCAGAGTTTTACTGAACTGGGAAAAACTGAAAGCATTTTTCTAAATTAAGAATGAGAAAAAAATCTAGTTTGCTCATACCTATCTAATATATTGCTTGAATATCTAGCCAGAAAAAAAAGCAATAGAAAGAAATTAAAATAATTTAATAAATAAATGACAGGAAGAAGGCAAATTAGCTCTTTCCAGATTATATTATCATATACTATAAAGGCCCTAAAATCTTCATCAGAAAACTCATAAATCTAATAAACATTTTAGCAAAGTGGTAAGACACAAAGTTAGCATTCAAAAAAATGAGGAACCTCTTTACAAAACATATGAAGAAATAAGCAAAATAATTGTATTCAACATGACCTCAAAATGTAATTAATGAGAAAAAGTTACATCTATAACATGAACTTTAATATGGTGTATAAAGAAGTTGAAGAAGACACTAAAAGAAAGAAAAGCATCCCATATGCATGAATTCATGAAACTGATATAACAAAAGTAGACACATTACCAATTAATGTACAGATGCAATATAATTGATCCTCACCAAAATGTGGATGACACTTTCATTAATTAAATTTGTTCTTTGACAATTTCATGTTTATGATTATAACATATAATTCTAATTATTTTCCACCCACAACCCTCTCCTACTTAATTCTCACCCCTATCTTTTCTCCTTCATTCTTGCAAATCTTTTACCCACATTCATGTTTTTTGTCTTGTTTTGTGACCTACTGATTTTAATGAAGGC